TTCATAAGTTAGCAACTTAAGTTATTTGTTGTGGTCCCAAAAATGGCTGCCAAGAAGTGCTTTATTGAAGGAGGTCAATGACTCAACTGACAGATGGAGAATTACAGTTCGTGTGATCAGGAGGTGGAATGTCTACAAGAAGGAGTCTCCTACTGAGGTTTTTTATGTGTCCATGCTACTGATAGACGAAGAGGTTAGAATGCTTTATATCCCTTTACCTAAATAATTTTCCCTCTGTCAATATGCACACACTACTTACCTTATTTCCTTTTCTTGTGTTGGCAACGAATAGGGGACAAGAATCCAAGCTTCTATCATGAACAAAAACCTATTTGATCGTTTTAGTGCCATGGCAGTGGAAGGGATAACTTATTTTATGGCTAATTTCGTCGTCTCTCCAAATAATAAGGAGTACAGGGCAACAAACCATGCTTTCAAACTGACACTAGGTACTTACACATATGTGAAGGAAGTACTTGCCTAATACCTGAATACTCTTATCATTTCTTCCCTATTCATGACATAATTAAGATGAAGGAGAGCAACCATGTTGACTATCTTATTGGTAAGTGTAATATTAAGTTCAGGTTTTCCTCCTTTATGAGTTCGACTATTGTTCCCTACTACTTAGTCATCCTGGTTTACTATTATATTCCTCTGTTAGATGTCATTGGATTCGTTGCATCAATTGGGCATCTAGAGGAGTACAAGTCTAACAATGAGATCAAGAACAAATTGCGATTGTTGCTGGTAGATGAGCTGTGAGTATCTTACATAAATGGTGTTTCATTTTTGATAAACCTTAAGTAAACTTATCTGTAAATGATTATTTCTTTCAGTGGCAATACTGTGGGTTGCATTCTTTATGATGACTGTGCAACCAATGTCTGCATGATGGATATTAGCACCATGCAATCTCCTGTTGTGATGATTATGCAGCTTGGAAGGATTGGATTTGATGATGATGGTGATTCATCAGTACTCATTTTGGATATTCTTTTGTGTAGTTCGTCCTCAGTAACTGTTATGTTTTATACTTGCCATTTTCCTTCAGGTATGGCTGAGATTTGCAGCTCATACCATGCCACCCAGATTTCATGCAATCCAAAGTTTCCAGAAGTCAAGCATTTTATCGATAGGTATAGTGCATTGGCATGTCCCACACCAATGTTGACCATTCTCATATGTCATTTTATTCCCATAAACCATAACTTATTAATTATTGATCCGTATCATTGGAGCAGTGCTACCACATTACCCTCTCCTACTATCAGCACAATCTCTCATATTGCTACTACACCATCAAATGATCAGTCTGCAACTAGCCTGCTCCGTAACCATCCTTTGATTTTTGTTGCAGACATATGCAATCAGCCAGCTGTAAGTATTTTCAGACTTCATTATTTTTAGTAATTTCTTAACCTGTGATATGGTAGATTGTTGGTCTGATCACTGTAAATGTTTGATAGGATTCGTTCTTCCCCATAAAGTGCTTAGTAGTCAAAGTTGACACGAGGCATGGCTGGTGCTATGAAGGTTGCTCCAGGTGTGGCAGCAAACCAAGGAGTGTGAGTGGGAAAAAAACATGCATTAATTGCAAGAAAGGACATGTGACTTTTGAACCCAAGTACAACTTTAACTCACCTCATCTTCAGAAATCTTTTATGGGTGCGAGCTTCGCTTAATTAAGGTTAATAATGAGTACTATTTATAGGTTAAGGGTCCACTACACGGTTGAGGATTCATCTGGCAAGGCAACTGTAGTCTTCTTTGACAAACTTGCTTCTAATTTCTTCCAAAAGACTGCACTTGAGATGAATCACACTCTTATTAAGGTAATGGATTATTTCGGTTGATCATGTATAGTTTAGTCATGGCTTTGCGTCACTTAAAAATTAAAAATGTGTATTATGCTTCTTAAAGAGGAACGTGAATATGATTTTCCTGATGAGCTAGACCTAATGGTTGGAAAGACGGTGCTGTTGAAACTTAAGCTGAACAAGTATAACGTTGACTTCCCAAATTCTGGCATATCTGTTGCATCATTCACACAATGCACTGATTTGATGGATGAATTCAATGAGGCAAGACACTATTATATTGAAGTTCCAATTTAAGGGCTTTGTTTGTTTTTCAACTTTCAATTTCAACTTACAGTTTTTTTGGAAAAAAATGTTCCTGCCATGTACAGGTTAGCGATCAGAACACCCATGCTGAAGAAGAGGTACTTAGATATAAACATGTTGCTAAAGTTTTAATTCCCTAACATTTGGAGATAATGTGTTGTTTGTTTCCTCAATGTTTATAGGCCACTGACACAGTCGTTCCTGAATCTGTCACTGCTGACCCACTAGTATTGAATGAAGTTACTAATGTTGCCATCGACGAGAATGATGAAGACAGCCCCGGCATTGAGGAGATACCTCTGTCTAGGATAGCTGGCCCCTCAACTTACAGGCCAAAGAGGAAGGTAGCTGGGAAGAGGATCATTGGAGTTAAGGAGAAATGGGTTCGTTCACCCAATGCCTCACCTATCAAGACATCGTCCAAGCCTTTAAAGAGCATCAAGCAAGAGAAGAACTGAAGAATTTTAGTGTTATTGCCATGTCTTGTCATTGTCATCTTTTGGATTAGTCCTTATGAGACCATGTCAGCTGGTTTCTGGTTTCTTCATTAGGAATGTAGGATCTTCTATGTGGCTACGTAGTTGATTGTCTTTTAATTTATGCAATGTCTTTTTGTGTGTCACTTGGCTTCATGGACCTGTGACTAAACGTATGTTATCTGTGTTATTTGAATGGCATGGCTATCTTAAGTATTAATATTGATGGTTCTATTTCAAACAAAATTCAACTGGGAATGATGCTTAGGCTTAAGCTTCAATTTTGGCTTTAATAAATACCTGTTATCCGTAGTTGGTAGTAATATGTTAAACTGAAATTCGATAATGACATATCAAACATCACTTGGAGTTTAACATTTACTGTAGTTGGTGCAACAATTGACTCAGATGGACCTAGAATAAATACAATCCCAACAATAAACAGTAATAATTAACAGAGTGGTATAAAATTGCGCCACTTGACACTTGCAATTCCTCCAATCTTGGCTGAGATTATTTTTGCCCCAAAATGAGGTTGTCCGTGTTGCATGGCCTGACATGCCTTTTTTTGTTCCCACAACTGAATAAAGCCCGATGGTTGTTTTTAATTGGCCATTCTCAAGCCCAAACCTTTAGGAATAAAAGATGCAAATGAGGTTGGCAGAGTTGCATGTGTGGATTTTGCTGCATTAGGTGTTTCTTGCAGACGTGTATTTTTTTGCTCATTTGTAGCTTTTTTTTTTTATTGGTCATAGAATTAGCTAAAATGTAGTCAATGCTTCATATGAAATGGGCCCATGATTCTTCGAATTGATAACATATCAATGACCTTAAGTTACTATCTTAATGCAGCTCCTTAAATATTTATTACTTAAAGACATAGCTCAACCCACAAAAGTTGCTGGTTACTTTTTTTCCAGCTGTAAACATTGAGCAGTGCAATGATTTGACTGAATCCATTTATTAATGCCAATATAGCCTACACTGGTGCAGACTTATTTGCTCTACAAATAGTAGGGATTCATTGCTACCGATAGTTGGCTTGATTTTTATGACTTATTTTCTTTGTTCATTATGAATTGCATGAAGTCTTCTCTGTTAACCATTACTAAAAGTGCAGAGTAAAGTATATCCATAGCAAATCTAAATATTGCAAAACACATGAAGAGGAAACCTTCATACATTCCACATGAGACTTTTGCCTTTCTTGAGAACAATCCACGACAAATCACCAGACCAAGAAATCATTCAGGGACCACATACGCAAATTTTCCAAAAAGGAATGCAGGTATGGTCAAAATGCTGTCTTGTGGTTATGTTCATGTACTGGGCATCCTTTGTAAATTTGTAGTGAATGATTGAATCATTGTGCTATTATAGATTGTCCAGTGTACTTAGGAAATGCTAATGGCAGACCAGAGATGTACACTCAGGAAAATGATGTTCTGTAAAGAAATACAAACCCATCGAATAGGTGCAAGCCAAGAAGACCTGCACTTAAGGACATTTCAAACGTTGCAACAAATTTGGAAACTGAATTCCAGAACTATACTAGGCCTGGTAAATCATTATCAAGTTCATAAGTTTTTTCTGCTACGATTATATCTCATGCATTCTTCTACTACTAAGGCTATCTAATTATGCTTCCTATTGTACCAGGAGAACTTGAGTTCAGGAACAGTGTAGTTAGGTGAAGAAGCAGTAGATTAGTAGCATTTTAGAATCTCAATCAACGTAATGAAGGCCCTGTACTAACAGAGGATACTGTAGGTAATAGATTATCAGCATTTTAAATATCTATCAGTGATTTCTAAATAAAAAATTATGACTGTTACCATCCCTGATTTTCATTAACCTTAGGAGCTTCTGTGATATGTGTTGTCCATGCAGAAGTATAGCATTATGAAATATGCACCTATCAATTCTATCTATACAGGACTGCATATTAGATTGTTGTCTTTCTTAACAGTATTGTCACCATTACGTTACATGTTGAGCATACATGGCAATGGTGGGAACTAAAACTGATTAATCCAAATCATGAAGAGATTTTGCATTAAGCTACAGGTTCCTAGCAGGTTCAGTTGACTTAATGGAAGGTAGCGAACAGGTTATATGAATGCATAGTTAACAGCGCACATAAGAAATAGTAATTCGAAACTATCATTTGGTTTATTTGGCCAATATATCATGTCCTTATCATTTGTAAATTTGCAAAATTAATAATCCAGTGCATGGTAATTGCAGTATCACAGAAAATGTCAAATCCTTCTTTCCAGTAGACATTACATCTGTGTTTAATATAGTATGCACCCTCTATCTATCCTTTCATTCTAACAATTCAAATCATTGATTGTCGCCAGATATCAATTATCTTACTTCACACATACCAGAACAAATGGATGGCATGATTCCATCATGTTCAATCACAGGTTTGATTAGTTTTATTCCCCTTTCGGTTAGACATCACTTGATTATATTGGTTATTGGTTATCTTTGCAGATGTTGTTACAGAAAATGCTGAGGCACGGTATAGGAATCTAAGCTTTTGTTTTGACGGACCTTGTGACACTGGCAGTGAAGTTAGTATAGATGAGTATGATAATGGTGAGGGTTAATAACATATTATCAATATTAAATTTGGAAATTCAGTAATCTTATTTTTCCCCTTCTCTTGAACAGTATAACTCCAAGAATAATGGGTAGAAAAAGTTTTGTTTGACATATATGCTCCAAGTTAAATAGGAACTCCTTTATGTTATTATTGAATGAAGTCAAAATATCATCCAATCAATGTTGCACTGGGACACTAAGTATGATACATGTTGGTATAAATCAACACACATGCTTTTTAGGTGACCAAACTTCAAATACTTTTACATTTATTGAACCTGACCATACATCTATGAAGGCGCACAGTGCTGAAGCTACACATAGCCAAGGTTAGACATGCTGAATTCTTTCCTAAATATTGTTTTCTGCATAGTAGCATAATACAATTGTAGGTGATCAACCTCTGAAACAATCATTGGAATGAGAAATTCTCCAATTATTGAGTTCTTATTCATGTTTTCTCATTTACATGTTTCTTCCACAAGTCACAGCATTGATGAAGTTGACTTAGAAAACTACCAACTAATTAGACAAATCATCTTGCTGCACATAGACATAAGTTCAATAAAAACTCCCTTATCTTATTATTGAATTAAGTATAAATATCATCCACTCAATGTTGCACTTGCACACTAGGTATAATACATGTTGGTATAAATTAACATATGTGCTTTTTAGGTGATCAAACTTCAAATGCCTTAACATTCATTGAACCTGACCATACATCTGTGAAGGCGCACAATGATCAAGCCACACATAGCCAAGGTTAGACATGCTGAATTCTTTCTAATATATTGTGTTTTACATAGTAGCATAATATAATCATAGTTGATCAACCTCTGAAACAATCATTGGAATCAGAAATCCTCCAATTATTGAGTTCTTATTCATATTTTCCCATTTACATGTTTCTTCCACAAGTCACAGCATTGATGAAGTTGACTTAGAAAGCTATCAACTAATCAGATAAATGATCTTGCTGTACATGGACATGAGTTCAATAAAAACTCCCTTATCTTATTATTGAATTAAGTATAAATATCATCCACTCAACGTTGCACTTGCACACTAGGTATAATACATGTTGGTATAAATTAACATATGTGCTTTTCAGGTGATCAAACTTCAAATACCTTAACATTCATTGAACCTGACCATACATATATGAAGGCGCACAATGGTAAAGCCACACAAGGTTAGACATGCTGAATTCTTTTTGATATATTGTCTTTTACATAGTAGCATAATATAATCATAGCTGATCAACCTATGAAACAATTATTGGAATGGGAAATTCTCCAATTATTGAGTTCTTATTCAAATTTTCCCATTTACATGTTCCTTACACAAGTCACAGCATTGTAAAGTAGACTTAAAAAGATGTGAACTAATCAGATAAATGATCTTCCTGCACATGATCATGAAAGGTCATACTTGGCCCTCTTTAGGAAACAAGTAATTGCCAGAAATTGAGTTGAGAAGGATATGAAATTCTGAAATGTATGCGGTGTCATATATTATACCTGATTTTTTTCTCCTTCGCATCAGTGCATGGGTTCAATTTCTGTTCATTAAGGATATACGGTTGTTGTAGTTGCAGGATACGTTGATATAGGGGATCCTACATTTAAATGCCAAAGATGTGGTGCACTAATGTGGTTCAATGAGAAAGTTGGATCAAACAAGTATGCTAGAAACCCATCATTCTCAATGTGCTGTCTTAAAGGAAAAGTTCAGCTTCCTCCTCTAGCACCTCCTCCAGATCAGTTTGTAAGATTATTTTTTGACGAGAAGACACCATCTTCAAGAAACTTCCTCACAAACATAAGAACTTATAACAATATGTTCTCCTTTACTTCTATGGGTGGTAAAATTGATTACTCAAAGAACTCTGGTGGTGGTCCCTATTCATTTGTTTTGTCTGGCATTAACTACCATAGGATTGGAAGTTTATTACCTCCTAAAGGATCAAAGCTTGTTTACTCCCAACTGTACATATATGATACTGACAACGAAGTATGCAACCGTATATCTACTGTAAGGTAATTTTTTGGTTAAGAAGGTTACTTCTTGCTGATTTGCATTTTTTCTTTAGTATCATTAGTTATATTAACAGATAATTCAATCTGTTCATGCAGCAAGCATATGAAAGAATCAGCCATTGATAATAATATTGTTGATCATATCAAGAAAACCCTTGATGATGCCAACCCTTTTGTAAAACAATATGGAGCAGTATCATCAATGATCAAGAATGACCAAAACACTGATGTGAAAATTTGTTTGATCAGTACAAGAACGAAGGATGGGCGGAATTACAATTTGCCGTCTACTTCAAAGGTTGTTGCTTTAATTGTTGGTGACATTGATATGAATTTCGGTAGAAGAGATGTTATAGTTCACAAGTTGTCAGGCTTGCTACAACGTATTGATGAATTGCATCCTTCCTATCTTTCACTCCAATACCCAATATTGTTTCCTAGAGGTGAGGATGGTTATTGTGACAATATAGAACATCGTGAAGAGACTCTTTCTAATACTAAGAAGAAAAAGCGGGTTAGTATTAGAGAGTATTTTGCATATAGGTTGATGATGAGGGAAAATGAGATGTCAACCATACTTCATACAGAGAAGTTATTCCAGCAATTCATAGTTGATGGTTATACCATGATAGAAGCTCAAAGGTTATTATGGGTCAGAACGCACCAGAAGGAACTTAGGGTAGATTTGTATCAGGGATTGATAGATGCGCTATTAACTGGAGAAAGAAGTGCATCGTCCACAGGGAAGCGTATAATTCTTCCATCTTCCTTCACTGGAGGGGCACGATATATGGTTGGCAACTATAAAGATGCAATGGCTATTTGTAGATAGGCAGGTTACCCGAGTATTTTCATTACATTTACATGTAATCCAGCTTTGTAAGAGGTCACACGATTGATGGAAAATGAATCATTATCTAGTGCTAACAGGTCGGAGATATTGTGTAGGGTTTTCCATATAAAGCTTAAGGCTCTTATGGATACAATCAAGAAGAAGAAGATATTTGGTACTGTTATTGTAGGTGAGTCAAATTTTTGATCTCTTCTTATGATAATGTCAAGATACTTTAATGATCTATTGCTTATTGCTTACTCATTTATTATTCATGCAGACGTTCATACGATTGAATTCCAAAAAAGAGGACTTCCACATGCACACATTTTGTTGTTCCTAGATCAACGTGATCAACCTAAATATCCGGAGGATGTGGATAGGGTAATCTCTGCAGAAATACCTAACTTGGATGAAGAACCACAATTGTATGACTTAGTTAAGAGGTTCATGATACATGGCCCATGTGGTCGTTCAAACCCTAAGTCCCCTTGCATGAAGGATAATAAGTATAGCAAGTATTCTCCAAGAACTTTGTGGAATGATGATGGATATCCTACATATAGGAGGAGAGATGATGGGAGGACAATTGAAGTCAAAGGCATTCCTCTGGATAACCGGTTTATTGTGCCTTATAACCCCACATTGTTATCTATGTTTGAAGCTCATATTAATGTTGAGAAGTGTAACTAGTCATCTGTAATCAAGTACTTATTCAAGTATATTAGTAAGGGAAATGATAGAGTTGTGGCATCTATTTATGAGAGCGCTGGGGACGGATCTTCAGGCCGGCCGATTGATGAGATTCAACAGTATTACAACTTTAGGTATATCTCAGCTTGTGAGGCAGCTTGGCGCATATTTGCCTTTGATATACAGCACAGGCATCTGGCTGTTGAAAGGTTAAGCTTCCATTTACCTAACCAATAATGTGTTGTTTATTCTAATGCTGATGATATTGAGGACCTACTTAATAAGCACCGAGTCTGTGAGTCAATGTTCCTTGCTTGGATGAAAATGAATCATGATAATGATTTAGCTAAAACTCTTACTTATTCTGAGTTTCCACAATATTTTGTCTACCAAAGAAGCAAACGATGTTGGAAAATTAGACAGAAGGGATTTGCCATAGGAAGGATTACTCATGTGTCTCCTTCATCTGGTGAACTTTACTATCTACGAATCCTCTTAACTAAGGTTAGAGGTCCTTCATCATTCGAAGAGATTAGAACAATGGATGGTGTTGTGCATTCCACTTTTAGAGCTGCGTGCTTTGCTCTTGGACTATTACACGATGATAGTGAATATATAAATGCCATTAAGGAGGCGTCAGTTGGGCATCTGGGAGATCATTACGAAAGATGTTTTAGCATGCTTCTTTGTTCGTCACTAAGCCGTCCTGATTTTGTTTGGAACCAAACTTCAAAAATATTGTCTGAAGATTTATTATACATACCACACAAAGATCCTTTATCATCAAGTAAGACCTATATTCATCTCAACAATACTTGCCATATTTTCATAAAATTAGTAGGCATGAATGATTTGTTTTTGTGCTAATTGTCCTTCCTTTCAATTTACATATTCTTACTTATCACTTTAGTGATATTTATGCAGGGGTACATATATCTATAAGTGAGAAGGAAGAAGCTGCCTTGAAAGAAATCGAATCATTGTTGCAAGAGAATGGGAAGACCTTGAATGATTCCTATGCTTCCAAAACCAGCATCATTTAGTCCACTTGATATCAGCAATCATCTCATTTTGCAAGAGCTTGGTTATGACCGAACATCCATGAAAGAAGAATGGAACACTTTGATCAACTCATAAATTTCAGAGCAGAAACATATTTTTGACTCTATCATATCCTCTTTGAATTCAAATGTTGGTTCATTCTTCTTTGTCTATGGTTATGGCGGAACAGGGAAGACATTTCTGTGGAATGCTTTGGCCTCTACTCTTCGAGCTAGAGGCGATATTGTTATTACTGTTGCCTCCAGTGGCATTGCTGCCACATTATTACCATTTGGAAGGAGGCACATTCCAGGTTTGCGATCCCTATACAAGTTAATGAAGACTCTGTTTGCAATATCACACAAAATTCTGCCTGAGCTAATTTGATTGTACAAATAAAGTTATTATAGGGATGAGGCTCCCATGGTGCAACGTTATTGATCGAAGCATTTGATCGTACATTGAGAGATATTATGCATGCTAATTTCCCATTCGGTGGGAAGTCAATTGTGATGGGTGGTGACTTCCGTCAAATACTCCCTATCATACCTAAAGGTTCCAGAGCTGACATAGTAAATGCATGCGTGACTTCTTCATATCTTTGGGACTATTGCAACATTTTACGTTGACGAAAAACATGCGCTTATCATTTCTTCGATCGAAGAACAAAAGGACTTGCAAAATTTCTCAAAGTGGCTTTTAGATGTGGGAGATGGTAATCTTGGTATGCCTCACGATGGCATAGCTGAAATTGAAATCCCTGATGATCTTTTAATCACTAATTATGATGATCCTGTTAGTGCCATTGTATCTGCCACTTACCCTGATCTTTTGCAGAATTTATCAAGTTTTGATTATTTCAATGACAGGGCTATCCTTGCACCCACAATTGAGGTGTAAACCAAGTAAATGATTATATGTGTTCTCTTTTGCCTGGCGAACATGTTGAGTACTTGAGTTGGATTTGTTTGCAAATCATTCAATGATAATGATTGCTTTGAAGATTTGTACACGATTGACTTCTTAAACACTATCAATAGTTCTGGCATGCCATTGCATTAAATTGTCCTTGAAAGTAGGAACACCGGTGATGCTGCTTAGAAACATTGACGAAGCATCAGGGCTGTGTAATGGAACTAGGTTGCGTGTAACAAAACTTGGCAAGACTGTCATTGAAGCAGTAACATTGAATGGTTCTAAACCCAACCAGAAAGTGTTGATCCATCGCATGGACATGAATCCCTTGAAAGTCATTTGCCTTTTCGAATGACAAGGAGACAGTTCCCAATCACTTTGTCATTTGCAATGACAATAAATAAGAGTCAAGGGCAATTGTTACGTTATGTGGGATATATCTACCGAAACCTGTATTCTCACATGATCAGTTATACGTTGCCCTATCCAGGGTTAGGAGTATGGGTGGTCTGAAGATTCTTGTACACAATGATGTTTCTAGTGCGAGTAACTTCACTACGAATGTAGTCTTCAGGGAGGTTTTTCGAAATGTGGATCCAAGCATGCAGATTTAAAATTAACTGAGGTGGCAATCTTATTTGTGGTTCATATTCATGTTGAATTTATCATCATTTGTAAACGGTATATTTTTATTGTACATGCTTTAGCTATCTCCTTACATGTACCGTCCATGATTGAACTCTGTTTTTCATTGTATTGTAGCCACTACCAGCATCTCTTTGTCAACTAGCTACTCTGTGTTCATGCATTGCTGTCATAAAAATGTCCGATAGTGACTATTTCACGTTATGCACTTTGGTAGAATTCATTTTGTTGCCAGGTTATGTCTTAGTTGCTTCTTCTAGGGAAAGAAGGATTGACGAAATTTTTAAAACTAATAATGTTGTTTAACTTGGCAATTGCTATTGATGAATACTATAATACAATGATATTGCGTCTGGATTATTATTATGGTTTGAGTGAATGGGAAGTGTTAAATGAAAATATAATTCTTTTTGTGGCTACTATTATGAGTTGAGGTTTGTATCAGGTTTGATGAAAGGGAGGAAACCGGTTCTTCAATTGGCAACCTTGGATCATATGTTTTTGCCGAGAATTTTGGAATGATTTGTTTGAGTGTCATTCTCTAAGCATTGGTTGTAATGGTCTTCAATTAAGAGTTGAGTGGTAGAGATTCTAATGTGTTTTGAGAATTTATTTAATTGAAGTTAATTAGTCCCGCGCAATGCGTGGGGGAGATGATGCTAGCGTCAGATAAGAACTTCACATGGTTTTTCCATTATTAAAAACCCATATATTCAATATACACAAGGGCAAATGTGGAAAAAAAGTTTTAATTCTCAGACAGTAATCAAGGCCCAACTGTCATGTATTGGTA